CAATGTGGCAGTTTAGGGCGCTATTAAAAAGAAGTCCACACTATATTCAGTGCTTTTACGGGTTTAAGTGACAGCATCCAAATGCAAATTTTTTTTGTATTTAACACAGTTCAGTAGATTAAGTATGAAAAAATTGTATTAATAAGATTAAAAAAGATTACTGTATCTTTTACATTCTGAACTGATCATTAATCTTTTTATATTAACAATTAATTTAACATTATCAGAAGTGAAGGTGCTTGGGCTGCATCATTGCATAAATTATGTACGCTGTTTGAAATGTCATTGTCAATTAAATTTAGATTAAGCCTGAGTAATTAAAACTCTGTCTAATCCTGAGCAATGTATGAAAATAGATCTATACCACATTAGAATTGAAAAACGTTCCATTTCATACAAGCAATGTTGGTTACTACACACTGGAAGTGTACAGTTGATGGATTCACAGCTAGCAGCTAAGCCTCTAAACCCCCTCCTCCAGAGATTATTTCAAACACTTACTTGCAGCCTCCATATATGCATCCCAGTCCATGTCTCTCTGAGGCACTGACTGATTGTAATAACTTCAGATGCAGTGGAGTGAAACAAAGTAAGTTTAATCTGACATTCAATTCTGGTCACCACATTATAGGAGGGATATGAAGGCTTTGGAGAGGTTGCAGAAGAGGTTTGGCGGGATGCTGCCTGGATTAGAGGGTATCAGCTATAAGGACAGGCTAGAAAAACTCAGGTTGTTTTCTGTGAAGCAGTGGAGGCTGAGGGGAGACTTGACAGAAGTCTGTAAATTTTATGAGATGCATAGATAGGTTTGACAGTCAGAATGTTTTTTGCCAGAGTTGAAATGTCTAATACCAGGGGGTATGCATTTAAGGTGAGAGGGGGAAAGTTCAAAGGAGATGTGAGGGGCAAGTTTTTTACACAGAGAGTGGTAGGAGTCTGAACACACCACCAGGGGTGGTGATGGAGGCAGATACAGTAGAGGTATTTAAGAGACTTTTAGATAAGCACATAAATATGCAAAGAATAGAGGGTTATGGACCAAGGGCAGGTAGAAGGGACTAGTTTGGCTGTACTGTTCTATGTTCTATGTGCAATTCTTTGTAAATTGTACAGTGCACCACCTTCCGCTTACTACAACAAGTATGCAAATAAATATTTTGTTTTTGAAATTAATATTGGAAATGTTAGCACACTAATGCTTAATACAAGACAGCAGGCAGCACGTTTAAAGTTGTATATGAAATCTTACTAACTTGTCCCCACCCAACTTGATAACCTGTCTTTGTGCAGGTAATCGAAAAAGCATCAAGCATGCTACACTGGAAATTTTTATGTGAAAAAGGATGTGTTCAGCTTGTCTTCCTCTTTTATTTCATATAGATTATGGATGTTAAATGCAGGACAAAAATAAAAGCAATTTCTAGAAGGTTGATGTGCTGTACCTTAAAAAAAGCTGTCTGGTAGTTACTACTTCTGAATTTATTCAATACATTTTAAGTAAAAAGATCTGGGATCCCTGGCTTTGTAAATAGAGGCATAGTGTACAAAAACCAGGAAGTTATATTAAAATATAGGAAAAAGACAAGTCTGAATCAAGCTGTCCAATTCTGGGCACCACATTTTATAAAGAACATTAAGACATTGCAGCAATATAGAGGAAAAGAAGAATATCTGAAGCAATGTGGGACTGGTGTTTGTTAGATGACTGGAGAACCTGGGGGTTGGGGAAGAACTGTTCTTTTCGCAGAACAGGAAATTCAGTGGAGATTCTGGAGAGGTCTTTAAAATCACGAAGGGTGTAGAAAAATTAACAATAGAGAAACTGTTTCCATCTGTTGTAGGACAATAACAAAAAAATAGTGATTGGCAAAAGAACCAATCTTTTGGTTTGTGGTCATATAGATTCTTAAATTGAATTCAAATTCCACCATATGCCATGCCATGAGTTCCCCAGAACATTAGCTGAGCTTCTGAATTAACAATCCAGTGATAATACCACTAGGCCATTGCCTCCTCAATAGTACTCTAGTAAAGTACAATTATTTCATACCAATTACTGTACAAAATATACAATACTACACTTTCTAAGTAGAATCTACAGACTAGTTCCATCACCCATATATTTTTCTATTGTTGCTGAAATCTCCAATGACTGAGGACAATGCCTGAGAATCCACTCAGAGAAATGGCTCACTAAGCCAGTTGGCAAATTTACAAAGAAGCTATTGGCCAGTAAGCCTGCCACAACTCATAGGAAATGGCCTAGAATCCAATATTTAAAGGAGGTTAATGTAGGGTGCTTAGGAAATCATGATGGGATCAGTTGACATGGCCTGTTAAGGGGAAATCGTATTAATTTGTGAGTGTTCTTTTAGGAATCAACAAGAAATATGGATAAAGAACTTGTAGATGTGTACTTGAATTTCCAAGAAGCATTTGGCAAAGTGCCCCATCAAGAGCTGCTACATAAAATAAAAGCATACTGAAAGGGGGGGAGGGATGGATCATATTAGCATGGACGAAGGGTTGTATAGCTAACAGGAAAGAGTAGAATAAATAAGGTCATTTATGGACCAGCAGGCAGTAACTATCGGAATGCCACAGTGTTGAGGCCTCAACTGTTTACAATGTATATCAATGATATTCAAAAATAGGAAGCTAGATAAAGGCGGAAGGATATCACTCCTAATCAAATATTGATGCACCAGTTAGAAATGACCTTGATTCATAAGACCATAAGAAATAGAAGTAGGAGTGGGCCATTTGGCCCATCGAGCCTGCTCCACCATTCAATAAAATCATGCCTGATCTTTTTGCGGACTCAGCTTCACTCACCCACCTAGTCACCATAACCCTCAGATGAGGATGTAGTATTGTTTTGGATGGAGATGGGGAATAGTAGGGGAACAAGTTACAAATGGGGGTGATTATCTACTGCCTCCTGAAAAGTAACCATAAAGTAGGATGCATACAACAAGAAATATTAAGTCAAGAATAGAAACTGGTGACTAACACCGACCTAGATTTTCTCCCCTTCCCTAGCTTACTATCAACCATCCCTTTCTCTGCTTAACTTCTCCCCTCCCTCACTGGGTTCCACCTCCATCTTTCAAGCCACTCCTTCCCCACCCCGTGTCATCAGAATAAATACATTTTCCTACATGCTATCAGTTTGAAGGGTCACTGGACTCAAAATGTCAACTCATAGAGTCATAGAATCCCTACAGTGTGGAAACAGGCCCTTTGGCCCAATAAGTCCACACCGACCCTAGGAACATCCCACCCATCCCCCTATTACCCAGCTAATCTATACATCCCAGAGCACTACGGGCAACTTAGTATGGCCATTCCACCTAACCTGCACATCTTTGGACTGTGGGAGGAAACTGGAGCACCCAGAGGAAACCCAAGCAGACACGGGGAAAATGTGCAAACTCCGCACAGACAGTCGCCCGAGGCTGGAATCGAACGCAGGTCCCTGGTGCTGTGAAGCAGCAGTGCTAACCACTGAGCCACCATGCCACCCCAAATTCTATTTCTCTCTCCGTAGATGCTGCCAGACCTGCTGAGTTTCTCCAGTTTTAAATTTCCAGCATTTGCGGTTCTTTGTTTTATTAAAGAAATATTGAGTGATTGTGATAAGGTGGCAGCAACACTCCTGGTTGGTTTTAATCTATACATAAACTGGAAAAAATCAGATTATGAACACGACCTCCCCCTGCACAAAGCTATGCTGTCTGTTGCTATTAAGTCCGTAGTTTTCCAAATGTGAGTAATACCTATCATCCCTAAGAATCTTCTCCAATAATTTCCCTACCACTGACATAAGGCTCACCGGCCTGTTATTTCTCACATTATCACTGCTGCCCTTCTTAAACAAAAGAACAATGTTGGCTATTTTCCAGTCCTTTGGGATCTCGCTTGTGACTAAACAGACAAAGCTTTCATACAAGGCCCAGCAATTTCCTCCCTCAATATTCTGGGAAAGGCCCCATCAGGTTCTGGAGACTTTTGATTGATTGATTGATCTATTGTTGCCACACAAAGTGTTATTTTGTGTGCTATCTAGTTTAATGCTTTTCAAAACACCCAATGCCATCACCTTCTTACACTGGCATACCCAGTAATATCACATACTCCTCTCTAGAGTCACCATCCACCATGTCCTCTTTCTTTGTGAATACCAATACAAAGTATTCATTAAGGATCTTATCCACATCCTCTAGTTTTACATAAATTTCCTCCTTTGTCCTTCCTTTCCCTAGCCACCTTCTTGTTCCTTGTATACATATAAAAAAACTTAAGAATCTTAATCTTGTTTGTCAAGGTCATTTCATGGTCCCTTTTAGCCCTCCCAAGTCCTTGTTTAAGTCCTTTCCTGCTTCTTTTATATTCTTCGAGGGCTCTGTCTTCAGTTTCGTAAACCTACGTATGCCTTCTTTTTAATTTCTGACTAAGCTCACAATTTCTCGTCATCCAAGGTTCCCAAATCTTGTCTATCCTTTTCCATCACTTTCACAGGAACATGCAGGATACATGCTGTCAGTGCTAATATAACGCAAAGAACAACAGACTGAAGTCCCTACTCAATGACGTTGTATTTCACATCAACAACCAATTAGTTTACATATCTCTCATAGCTTCTTACTGAAGGTGAATTTAACCCTGCATCCAATTACATGATCTAAAAGGCAAATAGTTAAAATCTAAAATATTAAAATATAAAGCCCCAATGAAAATAATTCATTTCTTTTGAAGGTTGGTCCTGAATGTCACATGCTGTTGGAAGCTACCAATGTCATCCACATTGATGAATGTGGATTCATGTACTGAAAGTTGCACCTAATTCTCTCAGGAGACAAGAAATTCCACTTTTGTTTTGAAATTGTATGTGCTGAAACATTTCATTTCAGGGTATAAAGAGAAGTAATGGGAAAAGTGAATTGTATGACAATACAGCTAGAAGGTGCGGTAAGAATGCAGAAGTGATTCTTTTCATGTAATTTAATGGTATATGTTACATTTATTTTATAAGTTTTATTCTATAAAAACACAACTCGGGGTAACCAAATTTTAAGAAGTCCATAGAAGAAACATTTTGCAAACATGTTTCATATTAACAGTATGAACAGGAATGGCAGTAGTCTACTTTGTAGCACCAATTGCTATATTCAAGTCCTCCCAAAGAAATACTGATGTTAAAGGTCAGAAATCAGTTGGTTATGCCTTCAATTGCAAAACATGTATTTTGGAACACTGGAACCTGAAAATAGCTGACGCCACCCCAATATGCAAAAGGTTCCGGTAACAATTCATTATTCCTTTAAAATTATTATTCCTTTACAATTTATAAGTATTAAACATTTTGAGCTGTTTTACTGAAGTGCAATATTTTCTGTCTTCACTAGGCAGTCAATTTTTCTATCAACATTTCTACGCCCTTCACATTTTCCATCATCTTTAACTTTGGAATGAGGCTCTTGAGGGCTTTGTTTACTTTCTTGGATACATCTTCGTTCTTACTCTGAAGAAGGCTGAAAAAAGAAATGCAGAGACATTAATGCTCATACTTAAAACAATATCGCAACAGTTGCTTCCAGAAATGAAGTGTCTTTCTGAAATTCAATTGAAAGAACAAAACACGAAACAAACTACTTGAATTGTTAGAACCCTTGTTGAGTTTTCATTATTTTTCTTTTATTCTTTTGTCTTTTTGGGGTTGGAGCTGTGAACTAAAAATGACCTTTCAACTGTGGGCAGCAGTTTGCATTAAAAAATGGAAGAGAAAAGAAACAAGCTGCTGTTAGCTTGTGAGGCCAGGCCTAGGAGTTAATTGTAGTTTGGTTTTTGATCAAAAGATCCTACAGACTGTCGACACCTGGGGAGCGCATTATTTTAAACAGATAGTAGAACTTGAATATTAATGAGGTCAGAATCTGGGAATTGGTTCCAGCAAGTCTGGGAGAGACCTTATGCTCAAGCAGATGACAGGTATTGAATGGTGGATGGGCCCTCCTGGAGGAGACTGTCAGTTTGACAGGGAGTGGTCAGTTTTGGATTGTGTTGTCTGTGAGGAGGAGTTTGGCTGTTGATACTGCAGCAGGAAGATTTGAAAGCTCCTGCCTAACCGCCTGTGATCAGCTATTGGATATTCCGAGGATAGAAATTAAGTTACAAGTATCACTAACTTCCTCTGAGTGAACAGAAAAGGAGGCCCTGAACGATGCCTTTGGAAATTCAATCAAGGAACATATCATCAATGCCTGTGGAACTACATATCATGAAAAATACTCAAATTGTTGTTTCCTTGTATTTATCCTTAATATTTGTTTGTCTGTCTGCCTTCTTAGTGAATAGGACTGAAGACAAAGGTTATTGAGTTTAAAATCATAAACATTAACTAAATTACTTTGATGTTTAATTTTGCTGTCAAAGTTACTGCACTGCCAATACAGAGGGAGAAAGGCTGATTTGATTCAGCTGTCAGTGTTGTTACAGAATACACAGCAAAGTTATTGAAAATTTGACCTGTGAAACACATTGATCTTTAACCCAGAAAATAGCTATTACTTGATATTTATGCCATACTTCAATGAGAAAACAACTCTTTGGACTGAAGTGAGTGACAGTATTAAGCTTCTGGAGGGAAACAACTTGGAAGCAGAATGCTAGGCGTGATAATACTACAGCTTACTTTATACTTTGGAGCTTGGGAGATACAGTGAGGAAAACCATAACAAATTGCTCCAGTACATCCAATGGACAGGATACAATTCAGCCACAGCAAATTGGTGGTGGATGGAGTGAATTTTTAGGATATTTGATGAGGCTCAGATAAAGCAAACTACATTGCCTGAAGGTAATATCAAGCATAGGTGCTGTAGCCGCCCAACACAACTGGGTATGTGAAATGTATTCTGTCATACTCCAGACTTGTGCCTTTTAGATGATGGAAAATTCTTGAGGATATGACGGGTGAATCATTTGCTGTAGAATGGCCAGCTCCAATTGCCGATGGCAATTAATGGCTGGTTAGATTTCAGGTAGGTTAGCTCAATTGGATGGATTACTGGTTTGTAATGCAGAGTGGCATCAACAGCATGGATTCAATCCTCACACTGACTGAGGTTACCATTTTAATGGCGCCAATCAGGATATTAATGCAGCTACATCATAGAGAGGGGTGAAGTGGGCCAGGGCTTGG